CCTTAAATTTTTATATGAAAAAGAGAAATTAAACAATTTTTTTTTTTTTTAATTTACAGTTTAGGATAGTAGTTGAAGCCAGGTGAAGAGTAAGCTATTCCTGAAGGATAGACCTTCAACACAAAGATACCTGGTAGTGCATGTCTCATTCAGTGTTGACACATTCATAGCAGCCACAAAAATTAACTTCCAGAAAGTTGCATCACAGATTGTCTCAGTAATGGATATGTCAGGCCAAGACCACAGAAAACCTTAATGATTATGGTTGAATATTGGAAATAATACCTGGTGTCCACGGAAGAGAATAGGAAGATGGATTCAGCGCTTTTTTTTTTTTTTTTTAATAGCTTCTGTATTCTTATTGAAATTTAAGTTCTTGAAAATCTGTTTCTTTGTTACTAAATAAAAATGACTGTGTGTAATTCATAAGAATTCACGAGATGTGTGGCTTCCACATAAGGGCCCAGTTTCCAATTCTTCTAAAACCAGTTTTGATGGAGGAAAATACTGACAAAGTTCCAGTTGTCTGACATTCAAAATACATCTAGTCGAGGTGGTCTAAATACAGATATTTGTATTGTACAGTATCTTGAAAACATGAGGTGATGGTAGTACCTAAGTCCTTAAAGACTTCCCTTTTTCCACTAACATTTCTTCAAAGTTTCTTGGTGCAAACAGAAATGAAGTTCCAGTTACACTTCTGTATTTTTCATCAAACTTTAAATAGTATATCTTGAGTCTACTGACTTATTCTTCACACATAGAGATATTTTCAGTTTATATCTAATTCATAAAAAAATAAATGTAGATAAAGGAAGTGTGCTCAATGATGAGTTAAAGAAGGCTCCCATATGTAGTTTAAGAAAAATGTATGTATGCATTGCAGAGAATTAAATTGAATTAACATCAACATTGTATACTTTTGGCTGTAAAAGTAAATAAATGTTACCAAAAAGATTCTTATTAGTCATTCATTACTGGACTACTTGTTGGTTTTTAATAACTATAAAGTAATAAAACATAATTTCAATGCAAATTTTTAAAAGTGTTTTTTTCCAGTTTTTGCTTTTTGAAATCAAAAAGAAATTTCCATAGGTAGGTTTTTGAATTAAGAATTCTGAATTAAGATTTTCATGTGCTTTCGCAGTGTTATATGAACATAGATATGACTCACACTGATTTTGCCATATATATATACATACTTTTTCTGCAAAGTAAAGATTATTTGACAGTACAGTAATCAGATAAAGTTTATCTGATAACCATTAATTTTAATGTGTAAGTGTATCTACAAAGTTTTCACTGTAATTCATCAAAAATTAACCAGATAAATTGAAAGTATATTACCAATAAATCTTCTATAGGAACGACTTTAAGCTGATCATGCACATGGCAAAAGCCTCTACTGAAATACTTTTGTCTATTTTCAGTACACCATGGAAGTCAGTCTTAGCAAGCTTTTGTTTGATTCCTTGATGTGGCTGAACAAAAGATCATCCTGAGTATTATTTACAGTCCGTTTCCATTTCCATACTAATCACATTATTCCAGAAACTCAGTCTATATTCACTTGCCAGTCCCCTCTGGTGAAAGACAATCTTTATTATGTAAAAAAAATGGACATCAGAATATTGTTTTTGAAGTGTAATGAAGTGATTTCATAACAATGTATCTTCATATTTCCTAAATGATTTTAAAACCTTAATGCACTGCAGGGGTCTGCCTCAGTGGCATAATGAAATGGGACAGTTCAGATTGCAACCTGCTGTGTGAGGTTCCCTCGTGTACGGAGCAGCATGATAGCTCTGTCTCCTTCCCTTTTTATCTTTCTTTTCCTCTTCAAGTGCTGGGTAATATTCTTGAAGAGGGGGATGCCACTCAGTATCTCGCACATCCAGCTGGTGATTAATTTACACAGAGTAAAGATGAGGTACTTCTTAGAACTAAATCTACTGCTCCAGTTTGATCATGAAAGTTGCCAAAAGGTTCAATATAAAGCTCTGCTAACTATTGGATGTTAGTAGAAATGTTAGCCATTTACTTTTTATAACCAACAAATCGGCCTCTACACACCCACCCCAGACATACAGATACAAACATATAGCTAGGCACAGAGATAAACATATATTTAGAGGGAAAGTGGGAGAAAAAGAGACGTGCACACACGTGCTTACATATACACTGCTGACATGATGATTTTACACTAAGACTACAGACAGCTGCAAAGGAAAAATGCATGAAAAAAAAAAAAAAAGCTGTAAGCAGCATGAAATAATTTCACAAGAATTTGAGCAACTCTTACAACTACGAACCTTCAGGCTGATCTTTGTACATTTAAATGATCTGATACTCACTGTATTACAACTATTTTTCTCTATGTCCTTTGAGTATAACCCTGGAGGCTTCTTTTAGCTGTGGCTATAGCCTAGACAAAGTAATATCCTAAATAGAAATTAATATACTGATTGCTGCTCCGCAATCTCCTAGAGAGAGTGTTTGCAGTTCAATTACAGTCATAAAGGGAGAAAGCAAGAGCAGTTGTGTCTGTAAAGAAGTTTAGCAGGGAAGGTGAAGGGGTGATACTGGCTGACTATGCCTGTTTACCAAATTGTCTCATTGTAACTTTGACTTGGGGCAAAAGTCCATCTGAATCTACCAGCAAAGTAACAGCATTGAATTCGATGTATTGTTTTGCTGAAGTGAGCTGAAGCACCAGTCCTGGGTAAAGTCTTCAGCTAAGATCTCCTACCTGCTGCACAAACTCAAAACGGAAGGAAAATTTTACTTCCAAACTGTAGGAAGTCTTGACCAGACATTCAGGGTAAAAACCATTTCACCTAACTTTATGGCATAAATTTCTCATTCTCCTAGGCTTATGTTTGAATCAGATGGGCACTTCTGGGCATTTCTCAGGCTGTTTTAGATGTCTACTTTAAGATAAGATGGATTGTACCCTAGAAGTACCAATTTCTCTTCATTGCTAGAGAGGGAGCGTGGGGTGATTGCCTTGTGTGTAGATGGATGAATCCCTACCCCTGTGTTCCTAGAAGAGTGCTGCAGCTGAATTAATGTCTCCGGTGGCATACTCTCTAAGAGAGTTGCATTACTGTATGAGTATTAATAATGTAGGTGATCCTACTCTGTGGAGGATGAATACATGTCTTTGCAAATAGATGGATTACTTTACTTGAAGATGAGCTAGAAGTTATTTTAAGCCACATCTTATTTTGTATTTAATAGTAACAGACTAATGTGTGATTTTGCTCTGCATGCATTTTATAGCTAGCTTTTCCAGACTTTGAACTGACACATCACAACACACAAATACTTCAGTCTGTAATGGGCTTGACATGGAGGGAATAACCTGACCATCATCAGCTCACCTGTAAGCTAGTGACATTTAAAATAGTACAGGCTTTTTATTACCACCCTGCCCTTCCTGCCCTAAATTGCATCTAATTTAATCATCATCTTTAACACTGGATTTTGTTGCTTTCAGCGTTGCACTTTGCAAAAACTCTTTTAAACAGTGACACATACTATGTTGTTGTCAAGTAGGTGACAAAAAAGGGCATCCACTACAGATCATTTGACTCTTTTGCCAGCTAATTTCCTATGAAATTGTCCTGATCCAAAGGGCAAGAAACCAGTCTTTCCATATATTTGAAACAACCCTAACTCAGTCCTCTAATGGTAACCCTGAATGATTATAGATATTCCATTATATAGTCTTTGCTAGTCTTTTGTATATTGTTCCTTTTATTGGACTAAGAGCTATCTGTGCCTGAAGAATAAATGTGAAGATACTGTTTCTTCATAAACTTCTACAACCCTGTAGACTAGTAGGTAGCTGCTTTCCTATATGTGAAAGTACTCACTTTTAAGGGTGATATATTTTCTAGTGTTAATTGCCGGTAGGTACCGATCAGAAGGAGTGTGACCCATATTAGCTCATTTCAATTTTGCTATTACCTAATATTTATTTTCCTCTCAATCGCTTCCTGGGCTATGGAAACAAGAAGAAATAAAAATCCCCCCATCATAATGTCCTGAGATAGATCTATTAAAGTCCACGTAATAGAAAGCTTGAGCTTGACCATAATCTAACTACTAATAGCAACACCAAGAGTAAAGATAAGATGTCGCCAAACTGTCATCTGAAGACCTGATTTCTTCTCTCTTGCACATTTTCAGAGATGAGCAAGAAGTCTGCTTGTAATCAACTACTTTCTATACAGCATGACCTGAATAACATTTTTTTGGTCCGAGGGCTAATTGAAGACAAAATGCCTAAATGCGCAATGTTGTGCAGACATGTATACAGACGACTTCAGCCATCAGGAGCTGGATTCCTTCTAATTAGCTGACTAGCAAATATAGACATAGCGTGCTTCCTCTGTATTTTACAAGAAAGAAGTGAAAACCCATAGAAAGTGATTCACCCCACTTAAGATGTCAACGGCCCTTTAGTAGTGCTGGCTTGCTTCTACCATACTAAAGCAGATGAAGGTGATTGTGCCCTTCAGATGGGTGTCCGCATTTACACAGACTAACCCCGGGCCTGTGTTCTGAAGCAGAGAAAATAAAACCAACTCCCTCAAGCTGCTGACATCACCCTGGTTAACAATGCTGCACATGATAGCAGAATTGGGCTAGGTGGATCGTACAATGGATGACTTTTGCAGACTTGGCAGGTAAAGGGGTTTGTCAGAGGAGGCAGCTGTCGATTTACTAGAGGGTAGGAAAGCAATTCTCTGCTCAGGTCCAACATGTTCAGGCAGCATCAGATAAGGAAGCAATCGGTATGTTCACACCTGCTTACATTCAAACTATCTGCTAACTGCTGACACAAAGCTTCTATCTTCCTACTGAGACACCAAGATAAATTCAGAGGAAATGGAGTTGTACAGGAACAAAAAAAGCTACTCTTTGCTAAATTGAGTGATTTCTCCAGGCTCTGACCAACAGTTTGAGGTCAATGTAAGCAGGAAAGACAAAAGAGAGTCCCTCAGGGATTATTCAGAAGCTAAAATAAAAAATTTGCTCAGCTGTTTATCACCTGGATTTGACCTCCCAAGCAATTTTTTTCTCTTTTTACAATAAGAAGGCAATGAAGGATTTGGCAGTGAATTAAAGAGAATTAATCTTCCCAACATTTTGTTAGTGACACTCTGGGGCTCTGTTTCTGACTAGTATTTCCTTTGGATTTAGATCCTTAGGCTGGTTGGTTTTGGTGTTGGTTTGTTTGGGGGTTTTGGGTTGGGATTTTTGGTGGGGTTTTTTGTTTTGGTTTGGGTTTTTTTTATTATTTTGTATTTCACTACACCCATGAGCAAGCGGTGTCAGATACTGTGTATGTTTGTAAAGTATAACTGGGGCCAGGTTTCACCTGAGATTTTTTTTTTCACAGTTCCTTCTAAATAAGCACATCAAAAGCTTTTTTTTTTTTTTTTTCCTTTTTCTTTAGCAAATCTGTTGTCATTGAAAGGACTGATCTTGTAAGATGTCTTGAATCCTCCTCTCCCATACATACTGCCACAGAAGCAGGTGCTTGGCATCTCTCAGGATCAAACCCTAAAATGCTAGTTGCCATGGCGACTGAATGTGAAAGAACAATAAAGAGCTGTTTACCAGAGAAACTTATCAGCAGGGCTCGACGAAGCACCACAAAACTGTAATTAGGGTTGCGTTGAAACACAGCTTTATTTCTGCAGCTAAAACTCAAAGGCAACAGCCATTGCCTTTGATTTCTTCCTGATACTATCCCTTGTATATCCCTTGCATATCCCTTGCATCCCTTGTGTAATATCCCACCCAAACTCTAAGTAGATTATAGCAGAGTAGGCAAAAATTAGCATTTTGAATAATCCATTAAAAACAAGCCTGCAAAACTGCATGCAGATGACTGTATGAAAAATGACGCTTTGAGAAGCAAAGTGCTTTGAAGTATCCTACACGCCCAGAAGTTGCTATACTCCATAGCAATCTGGAGAGTTTAGCATACATTTTTGGATGCAAGTACTGTTTTCATATTTGATTGAAAGAGCAATACCCCAAACAGCACATAGAGTCCTTTGGTTTTTCGTATTAAATTTTGTTTGGGTTTTTTTGCTTCTTAGGATTCTGGTTTCCTATGTTGTTAGTAATAGTGTTATCGTAGCTGACAAGTTAAAACAGATATTGTTGATAGTAGTAATCAATGTTGGTTTGGCAGCTCTGTGTCCTGAATGAATTCAGAGGTGCACTGTAAAAAGCATTTCACAAATGCCTGTGAAGGGAAGGTCTTTACAGTGAAAAGCTTTCTCTTTAATTAAGCAAAACAGATGGTGCTGGAAGAGAAACAAAGACACACAGAGGTGAAGCATCTTGCTCACAGCTGATCAGTGGCAGCTCTCAAACAGTTATTCGCAAATCGTTAGGACTCTGCACCGCTGTCGGTTATCAGCACAAATCACTGTGCACCTTTAGCATTCAGCTGAAACACCGGGTATGTGGTGTGGGTCTTCAGACCAGCCGTGATGATGTGGATCACCCCCGGCCCACAGGCAGCAGTTTGAGAGCCTCTGCATTAGACTGAAACAAAAAAACTGACTCAACAGTAAAGTGATGGGGTTTTTTGGTTTGTTGGCTGTTTTGTGTTTTGTTGTTGGGTTTTGTGTGTGGGTTTTAGTGTGGTGGGTTTTTTTGTTTGGTTTTTGGTTTGTTTTTTTTTTGTTTGTTTGGGTTTTTTTTGTTTTGTTTTTTTACTGTTAAGCAGGTATTCTTTATTAGCAGCGCTGAGCCCTTTCAAGACGCCCATCAATACTCCCCTTTCTGCATGCAGGAATTGCACACTAAAGAAAGATTCAGTCTTCCGTGACAGCATTCAGGAGGGTATTGGCAGATTTTGGCAGCTCAGCAGGAGATGTTGGGAAGCCTCATGTAGTAGTGTGTCATTTATGTACTGGGTTATATAATGAGAAAAGTGATGGTAAAATAAAATAAATTTCTTTATTAAGGGTGACAGTGATACTGCAGCATTCATCCTCCCTGCTCTCCCACAAGGTGTTTTTGTGATCTCTCTGTTGTGCTTTTTTTCTGCAGATTGTGTTGCTGCTTCAAGCTTTCATGCAAGTTGTGTACCATATGACTCCCAGGCATGGGGAAGAAATGAGGAATTCATAGAGCACTGTTTCTGTTAGTGCAGTGTTTGAATCAGTTAAAAACTGAAACACTAAAGCTGCTATTTTTAGGTTTCGGTAGCAATAGATGCCTAATACGTTCACTTGAGAATAATTCTGCTGAACGTGTGAAAGGCATCTATTGTGCATCTTCTAAACCCTGCTTTTATGTATGTAGAAGAAATGAATCATCTGTGCTTCCAGGCAGCACCCCTCAGCAACAGATAGGGAATGATTTTCTAAGAAGGAAAAACTATTCCCTTTGAACATTCAAATCTCTGAACTGATTTCTCTTCCATCTCAATGTAAATCCATTTCTTTGCTTCAGCATGTTGCAGCTGGATGACACAGGGGAAGGTCAAACTCTTTGAAGTGATATAACCTGAATTACAAACCAGGTCTTGAAGAGAGCTAGTGGGTGGGAAGTACACAAGCCAGGGCTGATCTCTGTATAAACTGCAGCTGCTGTCAGTATCAGGAACACTGAAATTTGTACCAGTGGTCTCTGCTAATTAGCTGCTACAAGAAGTAAAATGTCTGGTGTGCCCCAGGTAACTGTTGTTGTTGTGAGAAACTAGGAAAGATAATGGTATCTGTTTCCTGCAATCATTTCTAATGTTCCCTCATCTCCATCACTCACCTTTTGTAATCAACAGGAAATCTCAGATGCATTCCTCAGCCCCAGGCCCAGGGGTGCTGGTTCTCCCAGGCAGGACATGGAGAGAGCTGCCCTGCAGCAGCTGGCAGAACACAGTTGCTGCTCATATCCTAGCAGAAAATTCTGAGGGCCTTCAGTAGTGTCAGAGGGAGGAAAACATAGGTCCTGGAGCAGAAAGATTTGCCAAGACATCGTGAGTAGGAAATAGGAGAAAGAAATAAAATGCTGTATCGGAGAGCTGCAAATGTTTGTCCTCTGTAATGTGCTGCTGTCTTCTAAGATACTACTTTTGTCACTGATTAACTTTTTTTTTTTTTTTTTTAAATATAGGACTCCATGCCTAAGTGCCCTAGTTTTCCTTGCAGTGAAAGCAGAGCCAAAGTGCTACCTGTAAGATCTCAAATACATGGGACTTATGGGCTGCTGCAAGTTTCACTGCTTTGCACACAGAGACTGCCTTTGTCTGACACAAGTATTCAGACATTTCTTCACCAGAGGTGAAGTCCTGCCGTATTGGCCCATATGAGACTTGAAAGGACACAGAGATCCTTCTGTTAGTCTTCTCATAATGAATTTAACCCATAATGAAGATGATTTCTTTTGTCATTTAACTACACGAATCTGAAATGAACTTCATGAGAGTAAGGAAGCTGTTTTCTCACTAGTTCCCATGGGGCTGGATACCAGCTGTTAGCTATCATGGGCATACCAAACCAGCACCCAAGCAAAGAGAGTTTGGTGAAAAGAGAAAATGTTTTGCTTAAGAACAATAGCTAACACTGATTTTGGTGGGAGGTATCTCATACTGTTATAGATGTTTTAAGTTAGGCTTCTGACAGAGAAGGAAATGTTCAAGCTCCCCCTACAATCAATGGGAGTTGGTGAACGTCCCGGACAGTTCACTCCACTAATTTTAAAGGCAAATTCAAATGGAGATATTTCTTGTCCTTTATGAGTTATAAAGTAAGCTTACATGACTATCTTAAATTAGAGGCCTAATTTTGAAGGGTGAGATGGATCTCATCACATAGAAGAGGCATAGTAAGTTCTCATGAATTAGATGTGTCAGTGCAGTATTATGCAGTGCAATATTAGATGTGTCAGATGTCGTAATTAGAAAACACAAGTCAGTGAGAGCTTACCAACTTGGTAGGTGAAGCATAAAGCCTCATTATGAATCCTTCCCCAATATATATACACATACTAAAACTTTTCACCATGTTTTTTCATTTCCTTAAAAATTGCATTTTCCAGTTAAGGTCAGGAGTTTCATGAAAATGCATCAGTTTGAGAAGTCATTAAGTTCAATTAAACTGGATGGCCAGCTGAGCCAGATTGTACCTGAGTGTCACTGAACTCTACCTCTGAAAACTGTATATAGGGATGGATATTCCAGTAGTGCCAGAAATAAAGTACTTCACCTACCTACTAGGAACTTGGGATTTTACTCATATGTCCATTTCTTTGCAGCCAGTCATCATATTTACACCCATGACAAAGAAGAAATAGCATTTCTGAAATGAGAAAATAACATAGAAAGAAGTAAAAAGTTACAAATATATGTCGCAGTATGTTGAGTGTCAGCTTGTAAAACAGATGCTATTACTTCTTGGGGAAAACAATCCAAACCACAAATATTCCATGGTATATAGAAGTCTGTGTAAGTAAGAGCAGTACTGATGGACTCAGGCTGGTAGTAGACAGGAAATTAAACATAAGTTTACAGTGCATCCTAAAAAGACAGCTGTCTGGGGCTCCATTCAAAAAAAAAAAAAAAAAAAAAAAAAGTAAGAATTTGGTAATTTTCCTGAAATACTGTTTTTAGTTATTGACACATAGTTAACAGATAAAAGCAGGAAAAGGCATAGAAATGGTTGTGGTAGAGGAGAAACTATCAGAAAAAAAAAAAAAAAAGAAACACAATATGTAGTTTCTTTCAGCTGCACATTAGCTGTGAAAGGGTACCCCCACTGAATATCAGTTGCAAAGCATCTGGTCAGCCTGATTAGAATGTCAACCCTGGTATAGGGGAGCCAGTGCAGAAACTCTGTTAATATTTGTTGGAAATACAATGTAGGGCGTAGTAAAAGGACAAAAGAGAAAAAAAGCAGTGCAAGGGAGTGTGTCAAAGGAGAAATTCAGAGATCTGAATTATTTCCCAGATTTGCCTAGACTTTCTATATGATCTTGGC